GAGTGGATGTACTTCCATGTGAAATGCCTATGGAAAGAGCGTAGTTTATCCTTAAACGATTGAGTTTACTGTCAAAGCATACTTTCGCTTACCAATTCACAGTAAATTGGCAAGACAATGTTGGCCACCACCACGTTCGAGGTAAAGGCGGAGCAGAACAGGGTGAACATCAATAGAATCAGCAGCACGGATACTAGCGGCATCTTGGAGGCAAACGACATGCTATCGGCTATGTATTTGGTCACTCCGCTCACTTTACAGGCCTCGGCCAGAGCAAAGCCTCCACCCAGCAGAAAACAGAGACCCCAGGGGCAGGTGCGATGCAAGAAATCCCACGATAACAGCGAGTCTATGGTTCGAGCGGGAAAAGGAGCTGCAAGGAGGAAACTGCTTAAACCCAAGCCACAAGGAATGGTCAACTTGAAGTACTCACCCCTGCCGCAGCAATACTTGAAGAATGTGTACTGAGTGGGCAAGGCAAAGAGTAAAATCACACAGAAGCAAACCGTGGAAGATGTCCCAACGGGCCTAAAGGAGTGGAGGAGGAATTTCAAAACCAAGGAAACATTATCATCAAGATCTAACACTTACTTTGCATCGATAAGTGAACTCCAACCCGTAAAGACGCCCGGTTTGCGGGTGAAGAGCAATACAATCATTAAAGTGAATACAATAACCACTTGAATCTCGTGACAACTCATGGGACCCATGTTCTTGAGGCGTTGGCGCAATACCACCTCCACTTGATCCTTGTTCTCGGTGGCTTTCTTCAGAGCCAGGCCCGTCTTGCTGCCCGAGCGAAAGAGCGCCATGTGGGTGATCAGCAGGCTGACGTAGATGCAGATCATGTTAACAATCACCACCAGGGGCACAGTATAGGCCATGAAGAGAGGGAAGCTGACCTCCTCCTTGGATGAGGGAAAGGTACTGTGTGAGCGAGGGTATAGGCATTACGTAGTAGTTACAAAGTTAGTTCCTACTTACGTTTCGTAGATACCCTTAAAGACCAGATTGGTTCCAGTGCCAATTAGCGTGCCACAGCCACCCACTGTGGCCGAGTAGGCAACGCCAAAGTAGAAGGACATCGCCACCTTCGACAGGTGCGCAGGTCTGTGCCAAAGATCAGCTAAGAAGTTAGCAAATATGTCTGAAACATGCATTTGATGTGCCACTCACTCGCCCTCCTCCATGCGTTCCTCCTCTTGGGTCATGAATACATCAAAGATTTTCTCAGATTCCATCTCATTAAGCACCGCCTTCACAATGGGACACATCATGGCCGTGCCCGCCGAATTCGATATCCAAAGGCTCATAAAGGAACTGACTAACATGCAGCCACACAGCAAGCTGGAGTTTTGGGTGTTTTAATTGTTAAAAGAGAGCACTGCCAGCCACCACTTACCGCCTGGGACTGCAGCCGACAAGAATTATCGTTTTGAGTGCAATTCGTTGATGCAAATTGCAATATTCAATGGCCAATGCAACGACCAGGCCGCCATAGAACATCACCACAGTGCCGGAAAAGTAATGCTTGGTCACGTCATCAGAGCTCTAAGGTACGTGATTGGCATTGTAATTATGTCTGCCATTGTTACTGCGATTACTCACCAAAAAGTTGGCAACTGGCAAAAACATGATGGGTAATAGCGATGTCAAGTAGAGGGGAATGGCCTCGGTTATCCAAAAGATGGCCATAATAATCAACAAATATAAGCAAACAATTTCCTACAAAAATATAAAATAGGTATTTTGGAGCAGAATTTGTGGCGTAAACTCACGGGCATATCACTAGTGTAGCCATGGATCAGCATGGGCAAGAGTATTATTGGCACTACAACAGTCAATTTTCCTCTCCACTGGAAGCGGCAACATTTTCCCATGGCCCTTCCCGCGGAGATCTTTTCATTGGGTACTGGTCTGGGTTTTTGAAATAATTAAAGCATTTTATCAAAAGCATAATAAACTTCTCCTTTTTTGTTTTTGGATACTTACTCAATTGGTTCAGCCATTTTGTTGTATACTTGGAGTCTACAGACTTCAAACGGAATGAAATTCTATGTTTGGTTTGGAGTATTTTAAGAATTTTTTAAAAGACAGAAATGTCATGCCCAACTGCTCTTAATAATTTCCATTCAAGAAATCACTTTAGTTGCCATTCATTTTCACGTTTTTCGACACAGTGCTGGCAGCCTCCCATTCTCATTTGCCAAATATGCCATTATCCTCGCAATTAGGACACCGTCAATCAGCAAAGCAGCAGCCACGGCAACAGACAAATTTAAATCGCTAGAGAGAGAGAGAGAGAGAGAGGCAACACTTTGATGTCATTTAATTGATAATTTCCTGTCCACCCAACTTCAATGGCAAAAGACCCCAAAAAAGACAGACACAATCGGTAGATGGCCACGGGGAAGGTCAAATTGAAATTAAAGAAAGCTTTAAGCGAGGAAACAGAGGGGAGCCGAAAAAGGTTTAGGTTTCGGTTTCGGTTTCAATCTGCTTGGAAATTAAATTCCTTAATGTTGGCCACAAAGCACACATTTCGAAGCATGTCAGTGACAGGACGAGAGCAAACACAAAAGACGCACAAGAGTCCGCCTTTATGTATGTATGAGCCGGAGATATTACATAACCATAGATGAATGCTGGCTCCATTGCTCCGCCTTTTTCTATTCACATAATCTGTCAAATGACTTTATTGACTGCTGGGGACTGTGCGTGGAAAAAAGAGAAAACAATAAACGAAATTTAATACAAATCGGAGAGCAGCAGGACATGTGAGTGCCCTTGAGTGTCAGCAGTCCCCAAAAATTGGTCTTTGGGCTCATCCACTCGTAAATCCGAATAATTTACGCTCAGTTAACTTGTGGGCAACCCCTCAGTGTCCATTTTCGGATTCCTCCAATTTGTGTGTGTGTCAAATGCGTTTACTCTCTGCTTCCTTTCATGCATTTTGCATATTTCATTCTTTCATAATTCCCAGTTTGACAGGCCCAAAAAATAAAGTTATGGACTGGCAGCAGGGCCAGAATATTCCCCTGGGCATATCTATGAATTATTTCATATGCCGCCTGTCTCTCCCACTTGATGGTCTTCCTTTTTCAGTTCCTAAGTTTTTGGCACAAAAGTTTTATTGAGCTTTTGATGTTTGAGGCAATTTGGAATTTGTGGTTTGGTTTTTCCTCAAATATAAATGGCCAACCAATTTGTAAATGGGCAAGGAACCCCCAGAACTTTGACCGCACTGCAAACTTTTGATAATTATACGATTTTCCATGGAAAGAAGTTATGGGTATGGAGAATGATTATCAACCAATCGAATTGGTTTTAATCATATCAGAAAGGAAGTGTTTTAAAGCCAGAAAAAGGATCTGCGGAACTTTTTTAATCGAGAAAATCCAATAACCCTTGGGTTTAATCAGATAAAGATAATTACAGAAGACCCACCAGTGAGCGTCCAGTGTCCTGCGTATCTCATTATCCAGTCTATCGTCTGTGGTTTTATTCATTCTGGTTTCCAGTTCCAGCTTGCCTTCAAAGTGTTATTTATATTTCCTTAAAACAGACGCTACAAAGTGCTACATCTTTTGGAGATCCTTGGGGCTACTTTTTTCCACATTCCTTAACGATAGCTTGTTGTCTATTAGCATCTTCAAATATTGCAATATGTCCCCTTAAGGCTTTTGAATTTTATTGCCATGCCAGCAGGTAACTCAGCAGCTCACGGCTGGCCACGGCCGGCAAAAAAACAATCGAAATGATTGCCAATTTATCAGGAGAAGCGAAATGACCGTGAACCATGAACCATGGGAAGCACTCAACGCCTTGCAGCCAGCCAATCAAGTCCATTGACCACACACACGCACACACAATGTAGATGAGATTTATGGTCAGCCATTGGGCTAGTGGGCCACAGGACATTTTGGCTTTGAGTCGGGCGTCTTTGTCATACGAGAAGTCTAATTAACAAATCTGTAGGGCTACTGCCTCTGCCTGCAAACAAGGCTCTAATTTGTTTGATGTTGTGTGTGCTCTTTGAGCTGAACGCTCCATCGATTATGTGTTAAATTACGCATAAGGCAAACATCTGGCTCTCCACACCAAATGGGGCACCGAACAATGAGCCATCTATTTGGCAGGGCCACAAAAAAGAGAGAACAAGCAACGCTTGGGGCCTAAATTGAAATTCGGGCGTAGGGGCATAAATGTATTATGATAACAAATGGCATTCGTTTAAAATGAAACACGAAACTCTGGTAATATATTGATTCCAAATTGCAAATATTTATTTTTACGAATGCTAACCACAGAGGGAAAAGAGCGCAACAATATTTAATTGGTGCGAAATCCAATTTAAGTAAAATGTTTGAGTAAAGAAGAATTATTTTTGAATGGAGCAGCTTTAAAGATTTAAAGACTTTTAGTCTTGCCCAATTATTATGTGCTTAAATATGGGTCTGAAATATTTTTGTGTCTCTCTGCCAACATCTGCTTTCTTTTTGCATTAATAATCCAAAATCAAATTCATGTTCGTATGCATCGTAAAATATTGAAATGGCTTTCAATCTTTATATTACTTTTTGTTGTTTATTGCTTTTTTTATTTGTATATGTCCGCTGTCGTTTGTTTCTCTCATATGCATGTAAAATGTATGTATGAGCCTCGTTTATTTTTAACAACAATGCATTTATCATGCTCTGCACACATTCATTGTTGTCCAGCAGGCAGCACCTCATGCTGCTCTCCTGTGGCTTGAATATTCACGTGGGAGCGCTAACAAACCGAATTGTTGGTTGACAAACAACAGGAGGAGCAGGAATTCCTTTGCTGCCACCACCACCTGACAAGAATAATTGCCTGTAATTTGTCAAAGGGCGGCCTCTAAAGCTTTCCCACTTCCGAATCTTTTATCTCTTCTCTGTTCTATCTGTTTTCTTGTCTTTTTTGGCACACTCTCTGCTAATTCTGTGCTAAATCTGTTTGTTTCCTTTATTTTGCAGGCCACTCCTACAAGAGCATCAACGATGAGATTATTCTGGTCAGCATTATAATGGGCATCACCATACTGGTGCTCATCACCATCGCCCTGTGCTACATTGCGTATGAGAAGTGCCAGAAGAAGCGGGAGTACTACATCAATGCCTAGAGAGGAGCTCTAGAACGTGGGCCTGTCGTGGCTTACTTTTTTCTTTCAGTTGGTATTTACTTTTGCTCCCCACTGTAGCCTGAGCCCGGTGGCAAGCGTAGCGGTGGCATTGCAAGGCTAAATGTCAACACGGTCGGCAACAATGTTGACGTTGACGATTTAGTTGGCCAACAAAAATAACCAAGAGTGGCTTGCATCCTGCTACCACACTTGCATACATAGCTACAGATCCCCCTCCACCCATACACACACACACACACACACATGCACACACAGAGTCGTCACACACAAATCGGAATGCAGCGGAATTTGTGCTGTTTAAACGTTTCTCCAGTGCTTTTCCTCTGTGCTTTTTCCTTTTTCCTCTTCTTTTGTTGTTGGTTTTGCAGTTTCTCTGAAGTGGCTGCTGGCAAGGAAAGGGAAGTGCATTGGCATGGCTCTATTATGTTGCCACTGTGCACAGTGGAATTGTGCGAATTTTACGTACTTTTCCAAGCAATTGCATTTGTCATTAGAAGATCATTAGCAGGCCGCACGAGAAGGATACATTTGAGTGCAATTTAAGACAAGTTTTGGTGCATTTCAATTGAACAATCAACAGTGGCCAAAGATAAATAAGTGACTGGTCTGACTGAAAGTGAAATGTTATGAAAAGTGCAGATATTCATCGAAAAAGCTGACCAAACAATTGAAATGTTTTTCCGCGCTCGGACAACACAATAAATTTCGATTTGTATGCCGCCACGCCAAGGCAATTCAATTTAAAATGCAATCCGACTCGATGCCACACCATGCAACAACCTTTTGTTTGTTGCAAAAAAAAAGAAAGACAACCAAAAAAACACACACAAAATGAGCAATGAGAATGAGGATGGGTTGAAGAAGGAAAGGCGAAACGAATCTATTGCAAGTGTTTCTGTGGTTCCCTGCATGAAGCAACTATAAAGGAGGACCCGTCGGCTTTTTTGAGGGAAACGTAACAATGCTGTCAATAAGTGCGAGTGAAAGGGCTCTCGCTGTTAGTGTGACCGCCGACGCTGCCGACGACGAGTCCTCCTTTATAGTTGCTTCATGCTTCTCTGTTCGATATTGTAGCTAGCACCAGTAGGAGCGAATGAATATGTAACGGTACATACATGGTACATATGTACATACGTACATACATATATGGCATACATACGCCAATTTCGAGTATTGACAGCGTGGGGAGCATTTAACCAACCAACGGACAAACAGACAGGCAGACACAGCAACTGAGGGACTTTTCTTATGTTCGCATTCGCATTCGTAGTCGTAGTCGCAGTCTCTTTTTGTCTCCACTTTCTTTTTTTTGGGGAAGGGTAGCATTGTAGCTCGAGGCTGTAATAATAAAAACAGCAACTGGGACGCGGGTGAGGGTGCGGGTGCGGGTGCGGGTGCAATGTGCACACGAACAAAGCGTAAAGAAACAATAAAAGGAATCGCATCACAATTCTGGGCGGGAAGCACAGCCAGCGGATTCCGTGTCCGCAGATAAAGGCCCAAAAGAGTTTTGCCCCGGCCATTAAATTAGAGCAAAATGGAACGCTTAAAGAAAAGAAAAGAACCAAACCAAACCCCAACTCAACCACAATACGGACAATTCCTGGGGCATAAACTCAAGCTCTCGGCAAAGCCCCAAAAAATGTATGTCTATCCGTCAATACTCGTATCGTACACCACACACATTTCTGCACTTTGTGTGAGTGTCTGCGGCTGTTGTGTGTGTTTGTTTAGAGTCTTAATGTTAATCAGCTTAGAGGCAACCTTTGGCAACCTCCATCATCAGATGTGTGAAACATTTTGGCATGTTTTCTTTTCGAGCACATCGAGAGGAGGCCGGCCCAAGTAGCACTCGGGAAACGCCTACAGGAAATGCTTTTAAAAATTAAGCAACTGATAAATGACAAAGTTCGTTGGAGCAGAAATTATCGTTTGACAAATTGGCAGGGCCATGATTAGAGCTCATCAATTGAATGGCAACCAGGCACAGCATCCCATCAAGTAGTCACAGGATTAAGGGGGTACACAGGCTGTGCTTGACGACAAAGCCAGACGAATTACTTATGAGTAAGCGAGCACTTCTATTGAAATGGAAAATTAGCTCCAAGTTCCTACTTTTATGTGGAGGAATTTTGGTGACACAAAGGATTATGTGACGAAAATGACTAGGATTTGTGTAGGATTTTATTTTAGGTTATTTTTTAGTTCCAATTTCGTGAAATGTTAAACGAGCATTAGAATACTTTAACTTCTACATCTTCCTTGGCTGCAGCTAGACAAAAGAATTTACCCATCCTACTCGTGTTTTGTGGCTTTAGACACAAGTTTACGCTGCTCCTGGCCAACAAAAAAATAAAAAGCTCTCACCACAAAACACTAGACAAAAGCCTGACTTGAGACGCAACTTGAGACGGAAAGAGGAGGGAAGAAAACTTTACTAATTACCCGTTAACCAGTTAAAATCCCCACATAAAAATCCAGACACGCTTCGAGAGCGAACAACAGTAAATTTGATGACAGACATAATAAACGGTGCAACGTCCGTGGCGACGTCAGTGGCAAAAAAGATTGGGGCAAGAACACGCGTAAGCACAAATTTTAGAGCACTTGTCGTGACGGAAGGTTTCGGGCACTCAAAATGCATTCTTCTTGTTATCCTTTCGACGGGAAATGTTGGAGTTGGCTGTGTGCAAAATGAATGACTCGTAGAAAGACTTTTGGACAGACTTCGCTCCGGGGTTTCGACTCAACCGACACACATACCACATACAAAGGCAACACACGTAGAAAACCTTACGTCCATTTTTATAGTTTCCTCTTTTAGAAATTGCCACATGACTCGACCAAAAAAAAAAGAGAACGGAATAATAGAAAAACGGTGAGAAGCGAACGAAAATTAATTAAATTACTTTATTGTAGCTGAAAAAAGTTTTGTAAATTGCATTTAATCAATTGCACTTCAAAGCATATAGCGTATAGATATCTATGTAGCCAGAATAGATGTGACCACTTATACCTAATAGATTGATTACCTATTAAACTCGTAGATAATTATTATTATTATTATTCACTCTTTTTTGGCATGAAAAGAGGGACCAAACGTACCACAAACGAATCCAATGCGATGTGTACTTTATTTTGAGATTAGCGGGGGAACACACAAAGATTGTTAATACTATACTGTGCTAAATACGATATACTTCATGTACAACATTATAAAATAAAGAGCAAATGTTTATGCATGTTATTCAAAACCCAAATTCAAGTTTATTTTATCTTTAGAACTGCGCGCCACTCGTTTCAGTGTTGTAAAGAGAACGCTGCAAAACCTTTCTATCGCTTCAATGTTATCGACTGAAGTCGATCCGAACTTTAAAAGTTCAGAGCTTATTCACCGCCTCTTATCGATCGTGAAGATAAGAAGCACCGCGTTCATACCATATAAACTAAACAAGCTGGCAAACTAAAAGTATAAGAGGATATGAACTGATCAAAATTACTTCAAATTGGTTGGGGAATTATTTCTTAATGCTTCTCCACGATCCGTCCAGCTTTCACTCTCATAAATTCTGGTTTTATTATATTTATTTAAAATTTAACTGGATTGTTGGCATCTCTGGGCTGGACATGTATCAAGACCCGAATTGCATCGCCATGGCCGCAGCGGAACGTCTCAAACGCCTTTACCGTCTCCGTGATGTCAAAGTGGTGTGTGACCAGACGCTTGACATTCACTTTGCCCGATGCCACCAGAGCCAGAGCGGCCGAATAGCTGTAAGCGTAATATAAAATTTAATTTTCAATGTTGGAACTATGGTGTCTTAGCACTCACGTGTCGCAGTAGCGAACGCCATGTATTTTCGTTTCACGTTTCTGGTCAACCCTAAAAGGACACTAAGGATATGGCCACCAAAACATACAAATCCCCAAGAGATCAGTTTGGCAATGTAATTCGACCTAGCAAAGTCGAGGACCGCTTGCTCAGGGCTCTGGCCCATGGTTGAACGGACTCTTTTGGCAAGCTGCTCGGCACTCTGTTCTCTGTCCAGCAGCAGTGTGTGTGTGGCGCCCAGCTCCTTGGACAAATGCAGGCGCTGCTGCTCCAAATCAGTGATCAAAATCTCGGCAGCTCCCAAGGCTTGAGCAGCCTTGAGCATGAGGGAATGGTAGAAAATGTTAAACAGAAATCGCTTAACAACAGCCAAATGTCGGCCACGCGACAGATGTTGAAACCCAACGACAGTGGTTCAATAAGTTCGCCCTCCTCCAAGGTTACATGATCTGGGAGTTTGAAGCAAAAGTCCGCTGCATGCTTGTAAAAGCGCGTGAGGTTGCCGTCGTATGGGGACGTGCCTGTCCTGCTTGCCGGAATTGAGCTTTGCGCGCCTCGCGCTTACAGTGCTGTAATACGAACATTATGAAGCTTACCGATACCGATATTTTTTGGTATTTTTGAGTGTGTCTTTGCGTTTATGCTTTCCGGATTTTGCTTAAAATATATTTTCCAAACAATCTAATAAAAAGGAGCCACTAAAGTAAGTCAATCTCGAAGAATATTGATTTATCTATTGGATTAAATTATATTTTAAGTGGTGAGGCTCTTAGCCAGCTAGTAGTATTAAAACGAAAATCAAAACTGGTGGAATAAATGTCAATCATAAACAGAGAAAGCTTAACGCATTGTCGACCAGTGGACCAACTTATGAACCTATAATATTTTTTAAGCACTTTTCGTGGCGGTCGTTTGATTTGTGAGTAAAGCAGAAAGAGCGTATCTACAAGAATAATTAACATAGAGTTCTGCAGTTTAATTCAATGCTTTTAACAATTCGATTAAAGTGGGGTGAAGTGGGTTAATTTACTATTATTCCTCGGTATATTTACGGTATATTTCATAGGGTCAGTCACACTGCTGTAAATGTAAATAGACGGAACTTGTTGCAAAAACTTCATAAAATAGGGTTTTTAAGACTTGCGAGGGACGGAGTTATAGGAGAGCCATTATTTGGTCAACTAAATGCGCATCAAAATGAATTGTGAAGTGCAGGAACAGCAAAAACTTGGGCCACAGCAGCAGCAGCAGCAACAGCAACAACAATCGTCACAGTCCCTGTCCCCACCGCAGCAGCCACAACAGCAACAGGAAAGTAGCGACGATGACGACTTGAGCACCACAGAGCGACAAAATTTGGAGTTTGCCAAGAAGCTGGGATACAGCGATCAGTCAATACACTCGGCACTAACCCGCCTGGGCTCGGAGGCTAAACAAAATGAGTTTCTGGCGGAGCTTATCAAACTGACGGCAGACGCCCCCCGACCTGCCACAAACAGCAACAGCCACCATAACCATTCCATAACCAGTTCCACTGCAACACCATCCACGGGCGGAGGATCACTGCGACACATTGTGATCGATGGCAGCAATGTGGCACTGTCGCATGGCAACAATTTAATCTTTTCCTGCCGCGGCATACGCATCTGTGTGGACTGGTTCCGGCAGCGGGGCCACCGCGACATCACCGCCTTTGTACCCAACTGGCGCAAGGAGATGGCCAACAATAACATCAGCGACCAGGAGCTGCTCTACGAGCTGGAGCATGAACGAGTGCTGGTCTTCACACCATCGAGGCATCTGGATGGGAAGCGTGTGTCCTGCTACGACGATCGCTTCATACTCAAGCTGGCCGTGGAGACGGACGGCATTGTGGTGTCCAACGATAACTATAGAGACTTAATCCTGGAGAGCAATGAGTACCGAAAGGTGGTGCAGGAACGTTTGCTCATGTATTCGTTTGTGAATGATATATTCATGCCGCCCGATGATCCCCTGGGGCGTTCCGGTCCCACTCTGGATCAGTTTCTGTACTCGCAGACGCAGCAGAAAATGGCCGATGCCCAGCAGTTGTGTCCCTACGGCAAGAAGTGCACCTACGGCCAGAAGTGCAAGTTTCGGCATCAGCAGACGTGTCCGCTGCTGCAACGATTGCCCCTCCAGGCATCGCACAGTGCGCCACTGCACACGAACGGAGGGCAGCCACTGACGAGTGGGAACATTGGGAACAATATAAAGATTAATTCTTTGATCAATCGAGAGCCGCTGGGCCGCACCAAGTCGAATACAATTGAGAAAGTGTCACAGCAGCAGCTGTGCCAGGCATTTACCAGCCAGCTGGAGGTGTCTGAGACGGGCACGGACAATCAACCGAATCGCCACAAGAAGCTGCAACGCCAACAACCGCCGCCCGCTTATCGTCTACTCGTGCCCACCTACAGTGCTCCCCTGCAGCAGCAGCAGCAGCAGCAGAGCTCAAACTGTCATCATCATCAGTATCTGACGCGTACTCCGTCCGCTCCAGTGACGGACCAAGGACTAGCCCTGCCACTGCCCGCACACAATTTCTCGCACCTGTCCGCCTCCGATTCGCGCATCAACGAGGAGCTGCACGCCACACAGATGCCGCGCGAGGAGCAGCGTCGCCTGCTGCGCTATCACCTGAGCAGCCTCTTTCCGCCGCACCAAGTGCACGCGGTGCTGCAGCTGTATCCGGATGAGACCGACGCCAAGACCATCTGCGCAGCTATAATTAATTTATTTCCGCATAATTAGGCTAAACTTAAGATTCTTAATATAATTAGATCTTTAATTACAATTTTATATGTTTAATCTTGTAAGATTTGCTTGATTAGATCTACATCTCGATGCCCACAATGTTGGCCGTGTCATAGGGCATCAGGCCAGCGACGGAGTCCCTGTTGGAGCCGCGTTTTTGATGCACCACACGATGGTTGCGCAGCTTATATGCCTGCGGGAAGCCCTTGCCGCAAATGTCGCAGCTGCAGAGGAACAGAAAACAGAGAGCAAAATATGTTAGGTAAGGATTGTGGGTTGCTGGCTAAGTGACTCCACCACTTACACGTGCGGCTTCTCGCCTGTGTGGATCATCTTGTGGAACTTGAGTGTGTTTGTGTAGGTGAACGTCTTGTGGCACACATCGCACTCGTACGGACGCTCATTGGTGTGGATTCTAAGGGCACAAAAAAGGCATATTTCACTTGAAACTTTAAAGATTTCTGTGTGCCAATCCCTTACCTATGATGTTTGTTGCGCGTGGAGAGATCTGCAAAGGCGGCCGGGCAATAGCTGCACTTGTACGGCCGATTCCCTGTGTGCGTATTCATATGACGCGCCAGCTGCTGTGCCTGAGCAAAGCAATAGCCGCAGATTCTGCAAAATACAACGAAAGTTCCATTTAAAGTTGCATCCCAGCTAATTCCGCGAACTCCCACTTACTCGCACTCGTGCGGCTTCACGCCCGAATGGACTTTTATGTGCTCGGTGAGGCGACTCTGGGAGGGGTACATATTGCCGCAGATGTCGCAGATGTACTTGAACTCCTTCTTGTCGCCGATGAGGATTTTGTGGCCACCTTTGGTCTTGATGCCATGTTTGCGCATCATGGAATCGCCAATTGTGATGGTCGAGTCGCCCAGGCTGACTGTGTCGCTGTTGCCACGCTTTATCTTCAAGGGATTGTTACGCACGCTTGCCCTGGTGGGGGCTGAGGATGTGATCGTTGCTGTGGTGGCTGCCTTGGCGCGGGTGTTGACACGTCGCTTGACTGCTAGCCCTCGCACTGGTTTACTTGGTAGGAATTCCTCTTCCGCCGAATTTGTCTCTTCCATCTCGTCCTCGTTGGCGCTCTCCGTCAGCTGATCCTGTTCTTGCTCCTGCTCCTGCTCCTGCTCGACATGCTCCAAATACTCAATGTCCGCCGAGAGGCCAGACAGCGAGTGCTCGACCAACTCCTGCACCTGTTCCTGCTCGTAGATGCCTTCTGCCACAATGTCGCCATCGCCGTCGAAGGAATCGTAGACATCATACAGCTCCTCGATGATGCCATCCTCCTCGACCTGCTCGCTCTTTACATGCACATTCTCCGCCTTCTCGAGCTCCACCAAAATGCTCTCCTCCATGTCGTCGGCAAATGCCTGCGCCTCGGCCAGCTCGTTGCTGGTTGGCATATTCTCCTCGATTTGCTCATAGTGACCCTCGACGACCTCTTCCTCCTCCTCCTCGTCCGCCACAGGGGCTTCTTGCGCTGCACTCAGCGAATCGTCGTCCGCCTTCTGCTCCACCTCGATGGGGCCCACGAACTTTTGGAGGTGCTTGTACGCCTGCTGGCAGGTCTGGCGGAATCTGAACGAAATGTGCAGCACCTTGAGGCACCTCGTGCATATTTTATCCGGAAAGTGATCGAACCTTTTGATCTGCAATGTGGAAATGGTCTTGGTTGAGTCCTGGGATGGAAAGAAGGCTAGGAACACTTACTGGCACACCGCCACATTTCTTAATCATGTTTGTCACATCCTTCGTTTCATCGTCGCTGAAAATGCTGGACATGGGCTCCTTGGGCTGCGTCAGGCATAGCCGACACACAATCCAGTTTTGTCGCGGTGCAACAGCTGTCGGTTCTGTGTCTCGCATGTTGTTCAATTGTTTTAAAATCAATAAATAAAGCTAAGTTAAAGAATGCGACGCTAAAAAGAAGAAAAAAATATGACCGAAGATGTGTGGACAAAAAATACCGTCTGACACTCAGAAATTAACCGAAATATACAAATATATCAACGTAAATATATAATATTATTTAATATTGATTAATACTACCAGCTGGGATAATCAGCACTAATTATATCGATTCATCAGTTAATTCTATAGAACATAGACTGTTTTCATGACTTCCTTTGATTGGATTGCCTACAATTGATTTCAATGGATAAAATTGAAATACATGTTTAAAAGAAAATACCAAGCACTCCGTTTTAGTATTTTATGCATTTCGCTGTGAATGGTCAAAGATGCTCTTCAGCTGTTGAAAATAATTTACAATTTACAAAAACACTTCGATTTGGTTCATTTTGCCCGGAAAACCATGAAAATGGAGTCGAATGAGGGGTGGATTGTGTGCCGTGTGTGCCTGAACAACCAAAGCGACAGCGAGGAACTGCTCCAGGATATATTCACCAAAAATGCCAACCCACGTCTCGACCAGATGCTGCACCTGTGCGCAGGGATACCAGTAAGTAGAGCCAGCGGTCCAGCAGTAAATGTTAAGATTATAGCCATACATATTACGTAGGTCAGTGCCGATGACAACTTCCCCGACAAGATGTGCAGCCAGTGTGTGCGCTACCTGCGCTTGGCCTTCAAGTTCCGCCAGACCTGCCAAAGATCGCACCAACAAATCTTGGACATGCTGACCAGGGGAGGAAACAACACTCGCGAGGAGAGTGCCTCCAGTGGCGAGGACTTTATTGCCGAGAACATCGTCAAGATATGGGAGGAACACACAGGCCGGCTGGAAATAAGCCAAGTCAAGCTGGAGGATGAGGAGGAGGAGCCGCGGGAAGAGACTGTCAGCTTTATAGTAACCCCACACGAAGACGACACAGGGGGAGAGGGTGAGGGCGAGGTCCTAGATGGAATTGTGTACGATGCCACTGGTGAGGACGAAACGGTCACCACCGTGGTCTACGAAGACGCTCAAACTGTGATCGAGGATGCGGAAACGTATACGGAATACGAGGAATATGAACTCCTGACCAACGAATCCACGCCCCAGCACTGCACAGACGAACCGGCAGCGGGAACACAGTCCCACAGCGAGTACTCGGTCGAACCGCCTGACGATGACATGGCCGTTGATGTACTCAGCTCGGACGATACCAGCGACATCCTCGACGAGAAGCCCAAGACAGTGATCCGAACGCGACCGCCGCGCGGTAAACGGACAGGCAAACTCGGAATAAATGCCCTGGATGGCGCACACTTTGAGAAGAAGCTGGGACGCAAGCCGAGGGACAAGCTTAGCTCTTACATTTGCGATGTTTGCGGGAATATCTATCCGACGCAGGCGCGTCTCACCGAGCACATGAAGTTCCACAGTGGCGTCAAGCCACACGAATGCGAGTATGTGCCACACTGCTGGAAAATAAATGAAATGCTGTAATGATTTTTCCCCATTTTGCTTGCAGAATCTGTGGACGTGGCTTTGTGCAGAATCAACAGTTGGTGAGGCACATGAATACGCATACAGGAAATCGGCCGTACAAGTGCAATTATTGTCCAGCTGCCTTTGCCGACCGTTCCACCAAGACCAAACATCACAGAATACACACCAAGGAGCGTCCCTATGAGTGCGATGTCTGCTCGCGAACGTTTACCTATTCGGATAATTTAAAGTTTCACAAGATGATCCACACGGGCGAGAAGCCGCATGTGTAAGTAGACACAGAGCCACGCTCATGCCTCTTATGATTGATTTTTGAATTGATTTTGCAGCTGCGATTTGTGTGGCAAGGGTTTCGTCAAGGCCTACAAAATGCGTTTGCATCGTGTGACGCACGAGAAGCACGGCCCCTGGAAGCCACTAGAAGCAACCGAAGCGCCTGGCATTAAAGATGAAATTCCCGAGTTTCTCAGTTAGTCAGGGTCTGCAGTCAATCAAGCAGAAAGGCCTGCAGCTTTTCATTTACTTTTAGATTTTTTTATACTATTGTTTTAAGTAACAAACTGCCGTGAGCAGTTTCTATAGATTTGAACAGGCCTGTAACTTGTTTAACTTAAGTTTTTCGTGCTTTAGGAATCAACTATGATAATCCGAATAGCAAAAGTAAGCCCCAGGCAATGTACAAATGTACAAAGGCGAGTGTAAATAATGCTTAGATGTAACTTGTTCACCTCTCGATTGGTAGACTATTATTCTATCTTGAAATCTAATCGTGTAACTTGTTGTTGTACTATAAACGCTGCCCTGAACTCATGCAATGTCCTCCATTTACTCCTCCTCCACTGCAATCACGGTAATGGTTTCCATATCTCTTGACCCGTGTGACTTTTCGTGTGCGTGCATGTGATGCATTTGGGTAAACGAACGCTGGCAGTGCTGACACTTATAGGGTTTCTGGAGCGTATGCGTTTTGAGGTGCCCGCGGAGCACATTGGAGTACGCGAAACCCTTGCCACAAATTGTACACTTGTATGGCCTTTCGTTTGTGTGTATCCTACAAGACAGAAACTCGGTCTGAGATTAGGTTTGAAATCAAAGAGGTTCTACGACTCACCGCTGGTGCTTAATCCGTGTGGAGGGATCCGCAAAACTGGAATCACAGAAATCACATTTATACGGCCGCAGGCCCGTGTGCGTGTTCATGTGTCGCCTTAGCGACGTTGTCTGAGGAAAGCGTTTGTGGCAGATCCTGTAAGAAATCATGTCATAGGATCTGCAGCTTTAAGGCTTCATCATTGGACTGTGGCTTACTCGCATTCGTGGCGCTTGAAATCGCTGTGCACCAGCAAGTGAACCGTCAGCTTGGCCTTCTCCTGGTAGATATTTGAGCAAATGTGGCAGGCAAATCGTTTGCTAGACTTTGACTCCGTTTTGGGAGTGGCAGGACTGAGGGCTATATCGACCGACGGAGCCTCCTGTTCGCGTCGTTGAGGTGGCGCGTTTGAAGCAGTTTTGATATCAATTTCCACAATGCAATGGTTGTCGGTGTTGCTCTCTGGCGATCCATGGGTCACCTCATAGTATTCCAGATACTCAGGCTCCATTTCCGAGTCACTACCAATGGACACGCTATCCCCCTCATTGGACACATTACACTTGTCTGCTTTCTGCAGTTCCAACTCGATTTGCTGCCTCTGCAGCTGTTTCTCGGACTCCTGGCAGAGCAAGCGCAACTTGCGAGCGGTACGCAGCATTAATTTGCAGCCAATGCATATTTTCGTTGGCCAGTTGGGGCCTTCGCTCAACTAAAATGAATATATTTTAGACATAAATCAAACACTCAATCGAGTTGCCAACCTGAATCCCCGTGCAGCACTTGATCTGTTCGCAAAAGTCCTCGCCTGTGGCTATGAGAGACTCCTCCCCGGGATCCACAAGACAAATGCGACAGCACGAGACTAATTGATCCATTTTACTATTAACAATTACAAATTCATTTGTTTGGCATCTTTGGTTTGGTTTCTTGTTGTCGTGTGCAACGTTTCGTGGCGAATGGCCAAACAAAGCAGAAGCAGCATTTTATTTTGATTTTGTTCGTTAATTTGTTTTGGCCGGCTTTCGTGGCTATGTCTACCTTGGAGCAGCTGGTGCTGGACATGGAATCCGTTTGCAGGACCTGCCTGCAGGATGGTGACGCCCACATGGTCTCCATTTATGAGCGAGATGAGGCAAAGGACCGCGGCGGCATTTCCCTGTGCGAGAAAATCGAAAGTTTCACTGGCATACAAGTAGGGAATACCTCTTTTGAGTTGTTTTATGAACTTAATCATTTAAAACTCCCAATTATTGTCAGATGAAACGCACAGATGATCTGCCCACCAGAATTTGTGTCAAGTGCAAAGCATTTCTCACCATGGCCCACAAATTTCGACAGATTTGTCAACGTTCAAATGATTTTCTGCGAGATTATGTCTGCAAGAGTGTGGCAGTGGAGCCGGAGGCCAGTTCACCATCGCCGCAACATGCCGCAGAGACGGAAGATTATGAACAATTGGAAGTTGAGGTGTTGGAAGAGGGCATGTGGTCCACGGATGATATAATCGAGCAGGAACAACCCACCAAAGAAGTCGAGCAAACAGAGACGGTAACAGTCCTAACCGTGGCGACGGCACTACCGACTCCACAGCTAGTCGAAGCCACTACCAACAGTGCGGGCAAAGTCTATGTCTGTGATATGTGTGGCAACAGATATCCCCGCAAGAGCACACTGGACACGCACATGCGACGACATCGCAACGAGCGGCCCTACGAGTGCGAGTAAGTGCGATCCCATTAGCATTTAAATAGCTAATTAATTTGCTTTATTCCACTAGAATCTGTCACATGTCCTTTCACGTCAACTACCAACTAATGCGCCACATACGCAAGCATACGGGCGCACGTCCATATCGCTGTCCCTATTGCCAGCGACGTTTTGCTGATCGCACTTCGCTGGTGAAGCACGAACGGTTTGTTTTTCAGTTTGTTTGCACCCAAAGTCTTTGCTTAGATCTCCGCTTTCACTTTAGTACGCATCGCAATGAGCGTCCCTATGTCTGTGAGACTTGCGGCAAGAACTTCACCTACGCCAGCGTCCTAAAGGTTCACTACAAAACGCACACGGGCGAAAAGCCGCACATGTAAGTGGGAATGCCATCAATCATGTTTGTACTCTCGCTATAAGCTGCCATCCTTTGTACTCTCTTTCTCTGTGCAGCTGTCGACTCTGCGGCAAGAGCTTTGCCAGGAATCACAATCTGGTGGCTCATCTGCAAACGCAACAGCATCTAAATGATCCACGCACCGCCAGCTATTTGAACACGCTGAAAGCTGGGAATGCCCCTGCGGTTGGTTAGGAAGAGGATCCTAAATGTAAATGGATCCTTTTTGTTTTAATTTTTACAATTTCTTTTCATTTATTTAACTTACATGCAAGCGGTACACATTTTGGGAGGAGGAGGTTTTTAATCCACGTTTTGTCTTACAAATTTGTACAACTTTTAATCTGTTGTACGGGAGAAATGCCGAAAGTTGATTGTGGGACTTTTGTTTTCGAGATAAACTTAAGTAGGGAAAGAGAAGAAGGTGTTTTCTTGTATATTTTAACAAAATGAAATAACAAACTATGAACTTGGATCGTGATTGTGGAACTGGGACTGGGCTTGGGTTCCTTTGCACAGCAAAGGTGTGTCGGACGCACCAACCTACTTGGCCACCATGCGAATTTTATCTTTCAGTAAATTCCGCAGTTCGGTGACCATTAGCTCGTGCGAGTCCTTGAATGTGGCCGAAACATCGCCAATTAGCGTTGCCTCCACCTCGGGCTTCAGCGACATGTCCGCCATAAAGGAGCTCAGATCACGTGGCAGTACGGGTGCTTTCCAGGATCCTGTTTTGAATATTTAATTATGAATTAACTCACTTTTCGAGTTTAAGTTAAGCTGCAAACACTCACGTATCGCTGCATCACAGGACTCTAGTTTATGTTTCAGCTGCCGCATCAGCTCTTGCACCATTTGGCTGCGCTCCTTGTCGCTGACGGGCTGCGGCGTGTCCTGAGTTTTGTTATCTGCCTGCTTCTTCTTGTTGGTCTTGGTCTTTGAGCTGACCTGCAGCTTATCGTTCAGCACGGACAGCAGAAAGGCATAAAGCGAAAGCATCTACGGTGGATAAAAAGAAGCTTTCAAGTAAAAAATCGATGCATTAATTTGGTCTCCCTCACCTCTAGACTGGCAGCAACTTTTTGCTGCTGTTGTCGTCGCTTCCACAGGCCATCCTTGCCATTCCAATCGTTGCTATCTGCGATTGTCTGCACGCACAGCTCCATTATGGCAATCACATTGTCGCCCACCTGCTTGCAATGCGCCGCCAACGATGCCGCGCCGCTGTGCAGGTCGAGCACCAGCTGAGCCAGATCGTCAAAGAAACGCTCGTAGGGCAGCTCGAGCAGCAGATGCAGCCGCGTGGGCAGCAAATTGACTAGAAATTGTTGCGGCAAGGGTTTGTAGTTCATCAGCCTCAAACGCTGATACAGACCCGTCCACGAATCCCGCAACAGCTCCAGGGTCGAGGTGGCACTCTCCGGCGCGGGTGTCTCTTCCTTGGAATCACCGTTGAGCGACTGCTTTGGGCTGGGCGGCGGATGATACAAGTCGATAAATGTGGCAAATAAACGGAGCATCAGCGAGCGCAGCTGCAGCACTTCAATCTCCTGGTCAAAGGAGTCCTTGCACTCGCCAGCCGCATCCACCTGATGCAGCGGATCCCAACGAATGATGGCATCCAGATCGCGATTGTCGCTCAACTCGTGCCAGGCAATGCGATCCTCGGCCGGCTCAATGCTCATCGCCGAATAGGCCGAAAGATTCTGATGCACATTGCCATAGCAGCTGACCAGATCGCAGATTTGTGCCTCCAGCGAGCACGTCACATACTGCAGGCTGTTCGTGAGCCGCTCCTTGAAGTTTAAGAACTCCTCCATCTTGGAGAACGTGCAGAAGCGGTAGGTCAGCGCAATGTACTCCAAGCGCTCCTTGTAGCTGTTGGTGAAGAATTTCAGTGTGGCGTCGTAGCAATTCCTGGCGCCCGAGAAGCGACCGCACAACGGCAGCAGCTGGCAGTGCACATAGCCCATCGAGTCCAGCTGAATCTGCTTAATGTCCAGATAGTCGTACATCTCCTGTGCGCCCACCAGGCAGCCGAACATGTGATAGATCTTCAGGCTCAACAGCTTGACGTGGAAGTTGCTGGTGCTGTTCCGCAGCACATACTGCAGCAGGCACAGGGCCTCGAAGAGGTAATCCGACTTGTTCTCCCGCAAACTGATGTCATACATCACATTCGCCGCCAGCAGAGCGTACGGATCCGATGGTCCCATCTCGGTGGAGAGCAGCTTGTTGCCAAACGTGCTCCTGCCATGCTCATAGTGCAGCTTCAGGACCGTGTAAAATGCCAGCAGATGGTCAATGGGCAGATCGATGTGGGCACCGCACATCCTTGATATTTGCAAGGCACAAATGTGCTTCTGCATTTGTTCCTTCTGCAAAGATTAAGGCCAATTAGGAGTCATTCGATATGGGTTTGATTTCGACTTACATTCATTGGCAAGGACGTGGAGCTGACGCCACTCTGCAGCAGCAATTTGTTGGCCAGCGCCTGGCGCTGTTTCATACTAATCGATGGCAAAAACAGTGCAATATCATGGGTACAGCAGGATTTGTCGGCAAACAGCGTGAAGTACTCGACGACCAGTTCGTCAAAGTTTCCGATGAGCTGCTCGGCCGGCAGCTGATGGGCGCGCATACGTTGATGCAGCTCCAGGCGGGCCAGATATGGGCCACGTCTCTTCCGCTCCGAGGTGTCAATAATGCCCTGCAGAAACTCCTGGCAGGCGGCGAGAGAGAACTTTTTCTCTTCGCTCTCGCCCTCTGCGATGGGAAGTTCAAGTATCTCGAAACAGCTTTGAATGTACTCCTTGTAGTAGTCCCAACGATCGCGACTGGAAAAGACCAAAGATAATAGCAGAACTTTAAAGATTGAAGAGCATCTGTAACTCACTCTGCGTCCAGTAGCTGTTGCAGCAGCTCATTCAGCTCCCGCCAGTTGCCCAGCACCTTGAGCAATTCAAACTTCATGCTAACCGGCGCGCCCGGATAGAGTTTGGCACACAGTTCGCCGGTGAGGAATTCCCACGCCTCCTGGAACTTCTTCTGCAGCTTAAGGATGTGCAGATATAGAAACGCTTCCTGCTCGGACTCCAGTTTGCCCTCCCTGATGTGCTTCTCGACCATGCGCTGTGCCAGACACAAATAGATTTTGCGCTTCTCTGGCACAGCCGATTCGGGGCCACGTATACCCTGGAACACCACGCTGATCACGGACCAAAAGTAATACGCATTCTTTGGCTGTGCCTTGTACAGCTGCAGGGCCACTGCCTGCTGCGCCTTGTAGTCCTCGACGCGCACATACGAGATGAAGAGGTGAGCGAGCAGCTCCTCGTTGCCAGGATTCTTCTTCACCGCATGCTGGTACAGCTCCACAATTTTGTTCACTGCAATGAGTAGGAAGTGAAATATAATTAGCCTCACACAGGTACAGCACGTTGGCACACACACATTCCTTTGTCGCCATCGTCAGACTTTAGACTAAACGAAGGCGATTTTAATTAGCCGGGCGCGTGCCAAGAAATGTGTAAAAATATGATTTGTGAGCAGTTTTTGTGTGCGTTTTTGGTTGGTACATTAAAACTGGGAGAGCACCGACGGATGTACGCAGAAAGTGTGGAGAGAGTCTTTGAAAGAAAGTTATCTTTAGATATTGGAAATGTATGGATATTTTGACACCCTAAGCAAATAAACCCAGAGTCTTATGTGACCTAGTTTCAGCGTACATTCGCCGGATAATCCACGAACATCCATCATCCAACGATTGCCACAGCAAAAAATGCTATACGTACATTGCTCCATTTCGCGGTAGCAGAACGAGAGAACTTGGAGCGTAGAATCGTCCGTGGGTTTCTCTTCGGCCACTGCCTGTAGGCAGCCGTGGCTCTCTTCGTACCGCCCCAGCCGGAGCAGTGCCAGGCCCTTCAGAGCACGTGCACAGAGCATACTGGGATGCTTGCGTAGCAGCTTCTCCGATTCCTGCAGTGCCTTGCGGTTGTTGCCCACCTCCAGATTGTCTACCAGGGGGTTTCATTATTAATTACATTTTTTATAAATTAATCTTGCACTTGCATCGTGCTGTCGTCTCGTACTCACCATAGATTGGGCGCAATCTACGCTCGAACAAGGCCGTATCCATGCCCTGATGCGCCATGATAGCCTTCTAATTCTTTCACTCACTATTATGCTGCTCTGCTGTTAACCTAATTACAACGTGCTACATGCACCTCGCACGCCGCCACACGCTTTTGACCGCCTTGAAAAGATTTGCTTAAAATTTGCCGCACACGCTATTGTTGTTGCCGTTTCTCTTCTGTCGAGTCTTGGCCACTGTTTGGTTTATTGCATCGCGGGCGTATAATGGCTATGTTTAAAACTTACTCAATGGAACCCTAATTATACGTTTAACTTCATGGAAACTAAATAATTTTGATTCAAAATTAAAAAAAAAACCATCCACTGCATTCAAAGAGATGTGGAGAGGGGGGTGGCCGAGCGGACCTTTGGTATATTTATGGTATTTTTTAATGGGAACACGGCCGCAGGTATGGTATTCCTGTACAATATTTTCAGTTGATTTGAGTTGGCTTGTAATTGTTCCATAAAGTACTGCTAGATTAAGTTAACTTTTCACCTAATGTCTTACTTAATAACCTGTAAATAGCTCCACCCCCAAAACATGTTTTAACATAACTTTAAATAAACATATCACGCAATTGTGCTAGTTTCATTTCTAAACTGAGTACCAGAGCACCCGTATTGTGTATTTCTGACCAAACAGCTGACTGCTAGTTATGACACAGTGTGGACTCACGATGAGCGACCTGCACATGAATAATGAATTAACTAGAACAGTTTTCTCCTTTATTACAGTGCTAATTTTATAACCTCACACAAATATATCCAACAGACACTTGACAAACCTCCGATAAGTGTATTATAAACTGCTAAAAACTACGTGACTCACGCACATGCCACGCATTCCCTGGTCAGGCCATCCCTAGTTGCTGCCCCCTGTTCGCAAGTAGAAAATAATAAAATGCAGAGTTTAGCTAAATAATCGTCGCGCGGGGACAAAACCAAATTCATTTCAAGTATTAAACTACAAATTAAGCAACCTCCTCCCTAGTGTAATAGTTTTATTCAACCGCGCCGCCTCTCTGTCGCTCGTTTTCGCTTTGGTTCATTTTATGTCCATTTTTGGTGAAGAATTGTTTGCCAAAAACCTTCGCACCTGACGGGAGACACAATGAGAAATGAGATTTAACTGGTTGAGCGAATACTTGGCCGAAATCAGAAGCAACATCGATTCAAGTATTAACCACGAATCGTCTCCCTGGAGGCAATTGCAGCTTCAGCAGCTCACACCTCAAGCCATCTACTGCCGCATCAAGTCCACATCTGCCGAAGCACTGGAGCACATAGTGATTGCATGTGTGGTATACTTGCTAGTATGCCTTGGCCTATACAAGCTCACCTTTTGGCTCTCCACCCCGGCAACGACGACCAACAACAATCGCCCTGGCGCTGGCGGTCATGGAGCGAATCGGGAGAGGGAGAGAGAGGCTGGCAGCCTAAAGCAGATGCTGCAGTCTGGCCTGCGTTTGCGTAGCGTTCACATGCCCAAGTCAGCGCAAATGGATCGGGTGCTACTGGTCACCGCCCATCCGGATGACGAGTGCATGTTCTTTGGCCCATTGATCTACTCGCTGACGCAACGCGACAACTGCCAGGTGTACATATTGTGCCTGTCCAATGGTGAGCATTAAAATTGCTCTTTGCGAGAGCAATGCACCGAAAGAGTGCACAGATTTATGATCCATCTTAATCAATATATTTGTATATCTGGTGTACAGGCAACCACGAGCAACAGGCCAAGCTGAGGCGTCAGGAACTGTGGCGAGCGTGCATTAAGTTGGGCATTCCCGAGTCGAACATTGTGCTGATGAATGCCACCAACTTGCCGGACGATCCCAATGTCGAGTGGCGCCCGGATGCGGTGGCCAGCCTGATACTCCACACCGTTGAGAGTCTCGACATCCAAGCGATATTCACATTCGATCGCGATGGCGTCAGCTCGCATCCCAATCACTGTGCTGTGTACTATGCGGCGGCTTCACTCTGTTTGGCCAACCTATTGCCCAAAGGTGAGAGAGAGAGAGAGCCAGTGAGTGAGTGAGTGAGTCACTCAAACAATAGGAGCGGATCGGGCCATGTTAATTGCTATGCTAATTCTATAGCCCTCTATTTATAGCCCTTAATTATATATACACAATTTATATAACGACATTTTTTATGTGTATCCCAAACCCATATGCAGATTGCAAGTTTTATACCTTGGACTCGATCAATTTGGTGCGCAAATATCTATCCATCTTCGATTTGCTGTGCACATGCTTCATGTCAACGCATTGGTATGATTAATGTGCTCATAAATCAACCAATTATTTATTTATCTATTTCTTTTTGTCAGGTGCATTCTCAGTTGGAAGGAGGCTGCGGTTGTGCGGAGTGCCATGCTGGAGCATCACTCACAGATGAAATGGTTTCGCTGGCTGTATATCTACACATCGCGCTACATGTTCATCAATTCGTTGCGCCAAATAAATCTCTCGGATGTCGAACTGGAAATGCAAATACATGACAACTAAAAAAGTTACCACAAAACGTTTTAAAGCGAGCGAGCGAGCAGATACACCAAAAGACAAAACTACCTTAAAGACGGAGTTGTGTTCTTTGATTTTATTTTGTATGGACTCTGACGATTCTACTAGTATAACTCGGACTGTAGTACACACACACACACACACACACACACGGACACACATAATTGATATCCAATAACCCAGGGAACAAGGAACCAACAACCAGAAAATACTTACTAGAGTACATAGGATGAAGCCTAAACCACAAGCAAGAAAAACAGTCCATTAAATTACGCGTAGTTGTCTCACCAAATGGCATATCTTTATATCTGCATAATGCATAATTAGTTAGCTCTAATTGTATTGATTGTTAACCATTACCATTATTATTTATACTCAAACTCCAAGCAATGTTCCAAAGTGTGCGATGTAGTCAAATGCTTACAAAAAATCAAACAAACTAAAACTGTGCACTATGATAATTGTTATTAGTTTCTTATGTATTGATTATTAATTATTATTATTGATTATTGATTCCTTCCTTAGCGCATACCACACACACACACACCAAAACACACACACACACACACACACATTTCTGTTTCTTGTAAAATTGTAAAATAGTTTGTTGTAAGCAGCGAAGTACAATAATTTTTATAAATATATATATATATATACATATACCATAAACCCTATATATACTACGATATATGTGAATGCATAATATCTACTTATGAGCCACCACAAAGAGCGAAGCAAGAGAGCGAAAGCCAAAAGCGTTAATAGAAAATTCTAGTTCATAGAAATGCTGTTAAAAAAACAAAACCGAAAAACAAAAAACCAAATGAATATTTTAATGGAATCATTTTGATGAATGCGCTGCACCATTTTTATGTTTTAATGGTCTTAGTAAAATGCGAAGCGATTTTTGTTGCAAATTTCAAAAGTATTTTTGTCTTTTATTTCGGGGCTAAACTAAATATTTATATTTAAAAATCGAACTACTGCATTTAATTTCGAATTTTTCTTGCGGATCTTGTACACAAGAACTGATTTATGTTAAGTCTTCTCTAGTCTTAGTCTTCGGAGTATTCTACGGCCAGTGTCGGACGCCGAGCAGTTGACAATTACCCTCCTGATGCCCGTGTTGGACTCGCGCTGGGCTTCCTGAAAGGCTTCATCCACTTTCGTAATGGGATACGTTTTGCCAATTAATTTGCGCAGCGGCGCCAGCCGGGTTGACATCAGCTGCAGGGCTAGAGGATACCTGCAGCAGGAGAGGAATTATCAATAGAAATTATCCAGCAGGTCCCTGATTCACTCACATATTGGCGTAGCGAAAACTGGGACGCATTTTGATGTTCTTCATCAGCAGATCGACGGTATTGAAGCTGGCCACCTCCGAGGCGCACTCGGCCAGCACACAGACGCCGCAGGGCTTCAGCGCCATTATGGCGAGGTTCATTGTCAGCTCGGAGATGGCAAAATTGATGACCAAATTGGGCCAACCCCGGCCCTGGCTGTAGATGGACTCCAGCACCTCGTTGTACCGACTGCCCGAGTCGAAATGCACGCAGTTGAGGCCAAACTCCGTGCTGGCCATCTTCCGTGTTGCATTCATGCTGGTGGCAAGTGTCACCTGCTTGGCATTGAGGCATTTGGCCACCAGGCCCGCAGCTATGACGCTGGGACCCGAGCCTATGACGAGCACCTTGCTGAGGGGCAAAATTTCACCCTTTAGGCAGGCGGCACAGGCGGCGGCCAGTGTCGGGATGAGACTGCCCTCCTCCATGGTGATGTTGTCGGGCAGGCGATGGCAGAGATCGGCATGATGGACCTGATGGGTGCCCAGGAAGCCCTTGTACCACAGATGCTCACACATTTGGTAGCGTCCCTCCTTGCAGAGGTCGCAAAAGCCGCAGGTAATCGTCGCCTCACAGGCCACACGATCGCCGAGTTTTAGGTTCTGCACACAGGAGCCCAGCTGCTCCACAAAGCCCGTGGCCTCGTGGCCCAGCGTCATGTCCTTCATGTGCTCGTTGCCGTTCTCATAGATGTGAATGTCCGAGCCGCTGAGCGCGACAGAGCCAACGCGTATGATGGCCTCTATAAGGGGAAGATGATTGCCAGATCGAGCAAGGATAAAGGAACTTCTTACCATACTCCTTGGGCTGGGCTAAGGGTAATGACAGCATCTCGATGTCATAGCGTCTGGGAATATTGATCATATAACGGCTGCGATCGTCACCGAGTTCCGTCTGGGGCTGGCAAGAGAATTTCCTGCGCTGCCAGTGGGCCAGGGCCAGGGCCAAGGCAGCGAATGGTTGTGGCGAAAGCAATTTACTTCCTTCTACCTTGGGGTTGAGCAGATCCCAAGCGGGTCAAGTGGGGGGTTTGGAATAATGCCCTAATCTATACGCACCTGTAGTGGGTTTGCTCTTCTTGTCCGACTTCTGTTTCTTTTTGCTCTTGTCACATTTCTTGCGAGGAAACTTCACGGTGGCACAGTTGCCGGTGCACCAGTTCTTGGGGCACTCCTCGCCATCGACGTAGCAGTCGGTGCGTAGCTTGTTGCGCGCCTTCTTGTCCTTGCCGCGGTTCAGTGGGAATTTCTGTTCGAGCACCGAGCACTTGCCGCCATCCTCCTTTTTGCCGCCCTTGGCATAGCCACGCTGCCAGGTGGTCACATTGCCAGTGGCCAAGCCACAGAGCTGCGTCTTGGTCGGCTTGCCGCCATAGTGTCGCCGCACGAGTGTCGAGTAGATGAGGTAACGGCAGGGGCAGGGGCAGGGAGTGGGAGTGGCGGCCGCATGGCTAGACTCACGGACCGGACACTTAGCTCCAGCCGCCTGACGGTTGTGCCACTTGGGAGTGTTGCGGTACGGGAATGGGGCACGGAATGTCGAGTACTTCTTCTTGCAGGGATCAGTCTTCTTCTTGTCGTTGCCGCCCTTCTGGCCGCACTTATTCTTGTTCTTGGGACTCTTCTTGAACTTTGCGCAGGGATCCTTCTTCTTGTTTTTGCCACCTTTTCCGCCGGACTTGAACTTCGCGCAGGGATCCTTCTTCTTTTTGTCGTCCTTCTTGGCACAGGGATCCTTCTTTTCGCCGGACTTGAACTTCGCGCAGGGATCCTTCTTTTTCTTATCGCCCTTGCCGCCCTTTTTGAACTTGGCACAAGGATCCTGCTTTTTGTCCTTGCCGCCGCCCTTTTTGAATTTTGCACAAGGATCCGTCTTTTTGTCCTTGCCGCCATCTTTCTTGGCACATGGATCCTTCTTTTTCTTATCGCCCTTTTTGAACTTGGCACAAGGATCCTGCTTTTTGTCCTTGCCGCAGCCCTTTTTGAATTTTGCACAAGGATCCTGCTTTTTGTCCTTGCCGCCGTCTTTCTTGGCACAGGGATCCTTCTTCTTGTCGCCTTTGCCGCCCTTCTTGCCACACGGATCTGCTTTCTTGCCGCCCCCCGAGGACTTGCAACCACTGGCTCGGATCTGGCTGGCATCCAAGGAAGCCTTCTTGCGGGGCGACTTCTTGTCACCTTTCTGGGGGCGCTTGCACTTGTCCTCCTTGCAGGGATCGTCCAGGGGGCACTTCTTCTTGCACTTCTTCTTCGGCTTGATGACTCCGTGCTTGCAGCCGTCGCGCAGAATTGGACCCTGGAACTCCTCCTCGGGCTCAGCCCTGGCCATGACATGGGTTGGAGTGGCTGCTGCTCCTGTGGTCTGCTTCATGTGCTTCTGGCTCTGGTTGCGATTGAGTGCCGCGCGTGACTGCGTCGATATTTGTGGCAGCTCCGGCTCGTGAGTCAAGGACTTGGCGATGGCGGCCACTGTCATGGCTGGGTCCATCTGCTCCACGGCACACAGCTCGCTCTGCAGCTCCGAGAGACGCGCCGCATACTGGTGCTTCAGGGCCGACAGCTCCTGGTCCGTCATCTCCGACAGCTCCTTGTCGCTGAGCTCCATCGGCGTGTCTTTAATCATTGGAGCGGCTCCCGATGCCTGCTGAAAAGCATTCTGATCGGGGCACAGCCCGTTCTCCAGAGCGGCGCTGCACAGATTGGCAGCCAGCGAGGTGACATCGTCATTGAAGTCCGGCACCTGATCCTCGGTCATGCTCTCCAGGTCCAGCTTCTTCATGTCCACATTGACGACGCCTGCGATCAGGGCATTGAAGCGCAGCGGCACCGTGTGATCAGGCATGACGGGCGTGGCCAGCTCCACGCGGGTGTTCATCGACACCACAGGATTGTAGGGCATCAGCGCCTGGCCGCCCGTCTGCTTGCACTCGATGGCATCGCGCACATTGGTCATGTCCATCTCGAAGGACAGCTCCATGGAGGAGATGGCCAAGTCGTTCAGACGATCGCTCAGTGTTCGGGGCACGGAAATCATGACGCCCTGCAAGTCCTCACCAATGGCCTCTGGCTCGGCGGCTGAGAGTTGGTTCCCTGTGCCCTGTGGCTGTGCCTGCACAGGATCCTGTATGGGCAGTGTCTTGGGCAGCGGCTGTGGCTGCGGCTGCTCAGGACCTTTGTCTTGAGGCTCTTCAGTTTGCAGCTGCACCTTTGCTTGGGTGTGCGCCTTTGCCTGATCCTGTGTCTGCACCTTGGGCTGCGTGGTGGCTGGCAGTTTCGTTGTTGTCGTTGGCAGGCTGGAGGTTGTCAGATTGCTGTCTAGAATCGAGCCCGTCATGGCACGCTGCTCAAGCGGAGGAGCCTCCAGTTTCGTTGTGCCACTGGCAATGGCATCGATGTCCGTGTCCGCTGTGCTTGGGGTTGTGGTGTACGACTGCCAGAATTCTGAGTGCTCTGCGGCGACTGGCTGTGGTTCCTCAGCTGCTGGCAGCTCCTTCGTCTGAGCTGCTGGCAGCTCCTTTATCTGCGCTGCCTGACTGTTTGTCTCCCGCATCATCGCATTGAAGTCATCCACCATGCTGCTGGAGAAGGCGTCGATCTCATTGGCATATTTCCGCAGCTGGTTGATGCTCTTCAGCGTTTCCTGCAGCTCGTTGGCGTCCATGCCAGCTATATCCAGCGGCACAATCACAATCTTCAGATCCTTGCCATCCTGCTTCTCTGGCGTAATCAATCCAATCGGAATGACGTTCCTTGATCCATCCGGTGTGCCGCCCGGTGTGCCCGAGAAGCTGATGCGCTTGCGCAGCATGTTGACCCTGCCATTGAAGGTGAACACCTTGTTCGTGGCACTCTGCGAGTACAACTGCACGGGACATGGCATGGCCTGGTAGCCAATCCTCTTCAGTCGCCTCGCCCGCTCATTGAGCAGAAAGCGCGGACGCAGCACGGGCGAGTGGTAACTGATGCATCGGGTTATCTGTGAGAGATATGGACACAGACGATGAGTGTGACTTCTGGCTGTTGGCTTTATCCAGCCAAGAATGCCAGGCATTGTTTACAGTTCGTGTTTGTGTTTGGGTTTTCTAGTTCAATTTTGAATTTAGTTTGCCAAAATGTCATTTACGGATACAAGAAAATTTTGTTTCTATATTTGAAAAATAATTTTTGTTTTTTTGTGTCCGTGTTAACAGTTTAGTGTGCACAAGCCGAATGAGTGTGCCCTTTTCCCCAATGACAGCTGTTCTTTGGCTTACTTGGATCTAGGGAGTCAGCCTTTGGGGATACGAAACATACAAAATTCTATTTTCTCTTGGATCGA